TCAAACGATGTTCTATCACCTCCGCCTTTATCCCTGTCAACTCCTCCGCCGTATACGCAAAAACATCCGCGAACTCTCTGATCAACCCAATCAACTTCGACCTTAGGGGTTCCTCTATCTCCTTACCTATCCGAAATTTTCTATCCTCGCACCCTTCCACCATCTGGACCTCCTCAATCTCCCCTCCTGGCTGCATTTCCACCTTCTCCTTCCCCTTATCGGCTCTCTCCTTCTCTTCCCTTGATCTCGAGCCTCCAGGTCGGCTCGATACTTCCTCTCCAAGCTTCGCTCGCTTCCTCGAGAGCTGCTTATTATTGCTCACCGTGGTCTGATAGCAACTCCTCGAGGTAAGCTGATCTCCTGCGACCTCACCAACGTTTTCCCCCACCGGATATTTGATCGTCATGTGGTACGTCGACACGACCGCCTGGAAAGCATTTAAGATGGTCCTTCCCATGATAATGTTGTACGAGGACTCTGCTCCAACGACCACAAACCGCACCATTCGCGCCTTCCTCGTCACTCCTTTCCCCAAGGCAACAGAAAGGCTCACCTCTCCCATCGGCATCACTTCGCCCCCGTTGAATCCATATAGGGCTGTGGTCACCGGCTTCAAGTCAAGGTTGAGCTCCTTGTTTATCTGCACAAAACAATCATAAAACATCACGTCCACCGAGCTCCCCGTATCAATAAACACCCTCTTCACATCGAAACCAGCCACCTCCGCCGTTATCATCAGCGCATCATTGTGGGGTAATACTACTCCCTCTGCATCCTCTGCCCGAAAACTTATCTCCGGCATCCGAGCAGTGATCCCCACCTCCTCTCTCTTCCTCTTTATCGCTCGAACATGTGCTTTCTTTGCATTGTTCGAGTCCCCATCAGTTGGGCCCCCCGAGATCATATAAATCGTTCCTCTCTTCACCGGGCCTTGATCCTCCTGACCTCCTCGATCTTGACTCCCTCGTCTCCTCTTGCCTCCACGATCACCCCTTCCTCCTCGAGGATCGCCTCCTTGTCATCATCTTGATCACTCTGCTCCACCGAGTCTTCTCGACACTTTCCTTTATCCTTCCCCTTCGCCTTTTCCTCGTACACGAACTCATTAAGATACCCGGCCCTGATAAGGCGCTCGATCTCATCCTTGAGGTGCCTACACTTGCTCGACCTAGGCTGTGTCGGCCCCTCACGCTTCGATTTCGGCCACGTCACATCCCTGTCCTCTATCTTCTTCTCAATAGTTATCAATACCTCTCCCATTCTCGCATTAAGGGGCGTAAAGTGTTGGAAACGCTTCCCCCCCAATACCGGTCGATCCTCCCACCTGTCCTCTCGCCCACGATCAATCCTACCACGCCCCTCTCTTCTAGGCGATCTTCTTCCCGGGGATACTCTTCGAGGCGAGCTTACCCTTCCTTTCTTCGGCTCTGGCTTAGCCAACTCTTCCAACTTAGCAAACTCAGCCTCCGTTTCCTCCAGATTAATGTACTTCTTACACCTTTTTAGCACATCGTCATACGTACGAGCAGGGGTTTTGGCTAAAGATGTTCTACAAGGCCCTACTCGCAGACTCCGTATCAGCCCCCCAGCCTTCACCTCGTCCGAGGCCGTGGGGATCTCAAAACAAGTTTGATTGTATCGCGCGACATACTTGCGTAATGATTCTTTCTCCCCTTGCCTCATGGCCATCAACGTCAAGTACGTCTTTTCCTGTGCCACCGCACTCGCGTACTGGGTCATCAACTTTTCTGCGAAATCATCAAAGTCCTTGATCGATCCATGAGGGAGCTGCTGAAACCAGTCGTACGCGCCTCCCCTCAAGGTCGACAAGAATGCCCTACAGCTAACTGAGTCAGAATAACCATGCAGCACAGCCAAATTTTCAAACGCCCTTACATGCCTCGACGGGTCAGTGGTCCCATCGAACATCAAACTCATGTCTCTGAAATTCGCAGGTAATGGCGCAGCCAATATATCCCTCGAGAACGGATGTCCTCGAGCCCGTCTTTCAGGTCGACCATCCATCTTAGCCTGCATCTGCCTCACCTGCTCCGCGAGCCTCTCCATCTCACGATCTCTTAAGGCCCCCTCTCCTCCATAGCTCGACACGCCCTTATCCACCATCGTTGGCCCAGCAGCCACTCGCGAAAGGGTTTGAGTGACCTGCTGAACCGCTTGTGCCGCCGTGTTCGCCACCATCTGCTGCATCTCCTGCCTAGTCATCACCACTTGCTGGCCAGGACGCTGTTCCTCCGCCGGTAGCAGCACCGCTCCTTGTACCGCCACTCCTCGTTGCAGCGTCGCGGCCAGATCTGGTTGCGGCGGCATTTGGGCCGCCGTGCCTTGAGCTGTGCGGGTCTCCTAGGCCCGATTTGAGCCCACATCAGCCTCTGGTTGCACCGGCGTGACTTCTACACCTTGTGGAACAGGCGTCGGAGTCACCGGTGTACGCGAGGGTCCAGAGAAGCCCGGAGGTGGGCCTTCTCCAAACGGCCTCGTCATCGTCCACGCATCATCGAACGATGCCTGTAAATCTCTCCTAGGAATTCCGTCCGCCATAGCTACCAAGCTTCAGAAATTTCAGCACACCACTTTTCGAACGAAAGTCCCAGAGACGGCGCCAAATGGTAACGCAAAACACTCCGATCGGCTTGAAATCGGTTTGCTTCCTTCTTCCTTGCCGATAGAACGCCGCGTCCCTGCACAAAACTCTCACACCGGAGGAGTTTTCCGGTGAAGAGCCTCCGATGCTTAAGTCAGTATATGTTTGTTCAATTTTCCAAAGTAAAGAATGGATAAATCGTAAATCTTAAGAAAAGACCCACTCCCATATATATAGGAGTGAGATACCTGCCCTCAGAGCTGCCCGGATGTTGTGAGCTGTCCTGCCCTCGCTGCCCGTCCGTACACACACAGTGTACGTGTTGTCAGAAATGTCAGGGGTGTCAGAGGTGGTTGTTGCCACTATCACTCTGCACCAATACGTTTTCGCCACGTGCCCCCCTCTGAGCTGAGGGGAATTATTCCCTTGCGCAAACCGTTGGGATCTCCTGACATCACTCACGCGCCCACTCGCGTTCAGGTCACGCTCTCGACTGCTTCCTTCCTGCTGCGTGCTCGATCTGATCGAGCTCCCCCTTACTAAATCGATCCTCGACCAGCTCTGCTATTCTGCTCGATCTGTTCCGTTTCGGTCGATCATTCTTCAACCAACGTGGTTTTCTGCATCCTATGCCTGCCTGACCGACATGATGGACCGGTCTGCTCCTTAGTCGTATAATATTCCATATCAAAATATATTTTACATATATATTAATACACATTTACACATTATAAATAATAAATATAAATGTAAGTATTATCACAAAAAATAATAATCATCCCATAACTAAATAATAATCATAACAATAAAAATTCTCAAATAATCCACAAATAAATGGGGCACTACAGTCTACCCTACTTAAACGATTTCCGTCCCCGGAAATCCAAAAAAAATCATCCCAACAGGACAACTAACATAAGAGAGAAGCTCAAACCACTCAGCTCGGATACTCCGTCCGAATCTTTCCACTCTACCAAGTCACACCGTACGAGCCATGGTTACCCTGTCGGACTTTGACGAGTACCTCTTTCGGACTTTCCCTGCTGGATTCGTCAATCCAGTAGGTCACCGGTACCTCATCAAAGGTAAGGTTCTGCCCACATGCAGCTCGTCAAAGATCGCCTCGTGCCTAGAGTCGCGCACATGTCCCCTCTCCACGAGGCACTGAACAGGTCGTGCACTCTTGCAAGCTCCGGTGATGGGGTCAACCGTCAGGCTAAGACGCCGACTCGGTCGAGAATCACAAAAGGACCAACAAATGTGGCTGATACTTCCTCTATTCCCAAAACTCAAGGCATACAATGCCTCATTCCGTACTCAGAACCTCGTACGGTACCATCAAGATCGTCGCTTATTAGTCATCGCTATAAGCGCCCTTTCTTATGGTAAGAAAATTCCACACGACACACCCATCGAGTACACCAGACTCCAACTAGTCTCTCAGGGTCTCGACAGCATGTCCTAAACGCATAACTATCTGGATTTCTACGCGAAGCCAAGTTCAGTCTCGTGCCCGAGTCACGTTGACAACTTGCCCACGAGCCCAATGTGATCCGTGCGTCCGTATCAGACGGCCCGCCGCGAAATCACCTACAATGGCTAACCAACATAAAAAAAACACCATCCTCAAAAATGATACCTTCAGAACACACGGTTCTGCTCGATATCGTTGACAAAGCCTCATTCCTTGCCGACACGAGTAACAGCTCGTATGCGGTTTAGGAAGTGTCGACTAGATATTCAAAAACAACTTCTATCACAGAAACTGACTCTCAAATAGGGATGCTCGACGATCCCATTATAACGATCTAAAAAGACATGGCAAGTCCGGGCTTAAATGCACTGTTACCGAGAGATGTCATACACTGGCGCTGCATAAGCGGGGCGCTGGGACGTGTGCGTACATCTGTTCGGAGAACAGGTGCAAGGTCAAGGTTTCGGCCACACACTGGCTTGGGGAGCTCCTGCGTTTGGTGATGGTGGCTGCAGCTCTCGTGCGAGTCAACGATCGGCCCTGCAGTGCCTCACGTCTCTCATCACAAGCTCGCGTGCTCGACCACCACTTCGCGTGACTACACTCAGCCAGCGTCGGCGTTCAGTTCGAGGTACAGAAAAGATTTACTCTAATCCAAGGCTTGCACTATCTGAGGTAACCCGAAAGGAAAAAGGTTGTGTTAATACCACTAAATGGCCATATAAATTTACAAAACACAAATTTTAGCCATGTTTTGTAAGAAACATCTTTTTTAGCCATTTTGGCATGTATTTTTACTACATTACCCCTAACTCAATTTTACCATTAAATTATTTTTCTTTTCCCCCTTTCAATTCATTTCATCTTCCAAAAAATTCATTCCCCGCTCGTCCGAAATTTCCATCTTCAATCTGCACCGTAAAGACTGAACACCGTCAGAACACCTCAAGACTTCGAGCTCGTCCGAACGACCTCACGACCTCGACCCGACCTCACGCCCGACCTCACGACCTCGACGACCTCGACCTCGCCTTCACTCTTCACGACCGAACACCGTCCGGGAAGTTCCACCTCACTCTTCATGACCTCGCCTTCACGAATCTTCACGATCTCGCCGGAATCTGAAATCAGGTAGCGAAAGTAATGACCTCCCCTTGTGGTTTAAATTATGGTTTTTTTTCCTACCCGACAAGGTTCTTGCAGTCATACCCACGGACCTGTATGACCAGCTGGATCTGGCCCGCAAGATTACTTCCATGGCAATTGCGTCGCGGGTTTCGAAACTCGAGACGGAGGCGGCGAGGCTCCGCCAGAAGCTCAACGAGAAAGACCCACTCATTGAGGAGACCGATGACAAAGTCTCCTAGCTCGAGTAATGTAATCTATCAATTTCATGAACTTCTTTATTTTTTATTATTTGGTTTTTGAGGAGTATTTGTGAAGTGGACATGAATTAGGGTTTCTGACAAAATTGAATTGCAGATGAAGCTATTGACGGAGAGGGATTCTTTATCTTCCACCCGAGTAATGGAATTGTTTTTACCTTTTTTATTCTTTGAGAAGGCTTTGGGGGAGAAAAGTCATATGCATGTCGATTGAATTGTAGGAATTGCCTCTGAGTGTAGTTGAATATTTGTGGAAAATTTTTAGTTTAGTAAGGGTGAGTTTTGTTATGTTAAAATATGTTGAAGTAATGTGGTTTCTTCACTTTGCCCCTTTAAGTGTGTTTGTTCGAGTTATGAGTTATTTGTTATTGAATATTCATCATTTCCTTATATATTTGATTTTTTTCTGTTTCTTTTTTGTTTGAGAGCGATATTTATTGTGGGTACAATTTTTCTTTCTAAGAGGTGGGTGGATGGTGGTGATGATTTTAGCAGCTGAGATATTATAATTGATTTTGTGTGTAATATTCTATTTAAGTTTTAACTGTATCAAGTTGTGCTGGCGTGTTCATTGATGAGTCGTATACTATTCGTTGCATTCACAATGTTTAATTGGAGAATGGCATGAAACACTAGAGTAGATTATCTTGATCGACAATTATAAGTGCTTGTAAAAGAATTCAGATTTGAAGTAATTTCATTTACAATTATTACTACCTTTTTAATTTTCTTCATTCGTTTTTATTTTTCTCTCCGAGTTCATATCTACGTGGTCTGAGAAAAAAAAAAAACACCTTTCCACTTAGGTTAGCTTTTTTATTCCTGATTATTATATCTTTTACAGCAAATTTTTATGGACCCTTTAATAATTTCAAATTCGATGTTATTGAAGATTGCAAAAGGTCAGAGGACCTACAAGGTGCGTTTTGTAATTGATGTTAGCGAACTTGGGGAATTTAGTCCACTCCTACAGAATGTGAGTTTTTTTTCTTATTCCTTAGCACATCTGAGTTATGTGCTTTTACTTCTTTTAACTCTTTAAAATATTAGTTCCGATTGTATTGTTGGCAGAATCTATGCATTTTAAGTTGTAACTGGATATTATATAAATAGATATGTTGGCTTACTGGTCAATGTTATTTATATTTAGTTGACTATTGCTTATGAAAAGGTTACCGGGAGACACTTGCTTTATTCCTTGTCTAAACTTCTGGATATTCTTATACTAGCTTTTTGACTGTTATAAGGATGTATAATTTATTCACAATCATGATACAATGCTCTCATTGTTCCCACTGAGATTTATTATATGGACTGGTGGCCGAGTGACGGGAGGGAATATACTGACTTGTAATTTCATCATGCTTTTCCTTGTCAGGATAGCCTTTTTATGAATTATGCAAAAATAATTATAGCTTTATGCATGACTCGATTTACTAAGTTGAATTAGTTACGAATTAATTGTCTTTGTAACAGGCAACAACGTTTCCTGAATTTCAAAGCATTTCTTGGTACAGGTCAATAATTTCCATGTATATTGCATTTCATGATTTTTTTTTGGCCCACTATTTAATTTTACTTGTTGAAAGCTTTTCCATTTCTCTCATCTGCTGTTACCAAACCTGTAGGTACACCTCTAGGTCGTTTGGCGGACAAAATGGACATAATTCTTAAAGAAAATTGAAATTCCTTATGGAACCTTAGATATTATTGCCTTGGATGCCATCCTATTCCAGCCCTGAAATATCTTTTTGTAGTTGTCTTCTGATGCACTTCTTTAATTTATTCTAAAGCTAATATTATATTACTTAATTACTGCCATTTCAGGATCACTCGAGTGTATGTGCAAATGATCAGATTCAGTGGTTGACAAGGATTTTAAAAGAAAGCGATAGTGAGTGGTAAATCTTTCGATGCTAATATGGTTGTTTCCTTCTCTCTGTTCTTGACACTGCATAATGCAACTTACATCACTTTGCAAGTGACCAACAGAAAAAAATTGTTGTACTGGCATTGACTATGGAACACAGACCATTGAATTCTATTTGAGCGCCAAATTTGTAGCTTTGCTACCTTTCTTATGTTTAGAACCAAAAAGTTAATAAAGAATTAAATTAATCTATTTAGAAATAGCCCCGTTATTAGTTTAGATTAACATCCAATCTAGTTTATTATCTAAATATTGGTATAACATGTCTTTCTACTCATTCCTCTCGTGCTAAACTCTCTCCATATCTTTATATTTCTCTCATGCTAGTTCCAATCATTCTTTACTTCATTTTCCCCCATGAGCTAATGCAGGAAAGTTGTCTTTGGTGAGTGCAAAATATTGAAAATGGAAAATGGGAGTCCTTTTGAGCCTTTATGGAGCATATTGCTTCAATATGGAGAGGTGAGCAACCGATTTTCCGAGTTTGGCCTTATCATAAGCTGATGATAGTGGCTCTCCTATATTTCAATATCTTTGCACCCTTCTTATAATGTTTCTTTAATCTATATGTTCATATTTACTGGCTCTGAAGCACGCACACACGAAAAAAAAAAATGAAACGGGAGCTATTTCTTTTAATCAACTTTTGATTTCTGGTTTTCGTTCACTTAGAATGCATATATTAGCACGAAAAGTTGCACCGATCAAGGACAGAGGTTTGGTGTTAGTTCAATGGACAGAGGTTCTTATTTTACCGCCGTAAATCAGAATTTTGTTTTTAAAGAGTGAGTAATTTGTCACATGCCCCTAAAGTTTGTAGTGTCACTTGTTTTGTCCAAGTCCAAATTTTCTGGTAGTACTATAAAGCCTTGTTGTGTAATTGTTTTTTCAGGGATAAAGCAGATGGGTTTATTTTCCACCGAATCAGCTCACTAGAGATGGTGAGCTATGGCTATCTTTCCATTCAAAAATTAGTTTTTGTTCGTTCGGTTTTCTCGTGGCACAGAAAGCCCTACAAAATAATTGCAAAAGGAAACTATTGAAGATGACATTTTATATCTCTCTTTCTTCTCCTTGTTACAGGACACTATTTCGACATTGTTATCCAGTCCGAATAGCCTATTAAGTTTGAATAGTTATAACGTACTCTTAATTGAGTTATAAATATTTGAATCTATAGATTTATTGAATGAAGAAGATTGACTAATTTCGTGTAGCCAGTATATTATGTTCTTTGTTATTGATTATAATTTTGCAAGATTTTCAAGTCAATTCTCATAGTTTTTTCAAGATCTACGTTTTAAAAACTTTTTCTAGTTTTGCTGAAACTGAAGGAGAATAGCTCGACCAATGGGAGATGAGTGAAAAGAAGTTGAGGCTCGACGACAAGGAGAGGAATAAAACAACAAAATAAGGGACTAAAGTCGGCATTGTGTAAGTTTAATTGATGTCAAATTTTAACATGAGTTTACACTAATAGCACATGATGTAATAAAAAGAATTGCTTTTAGGGTTGAACTTTAATACACCTTTGTGGTACTGTTTGTTTGGGATAGATTGTTAAGTGGATATTAATATTTTGGTTTTTAACACACCTTCTTCAATATTGTGTTAAAAAAAAAAAATTAACGCTTTTGATTTTTGGCTTGCTTATTCATTAGCTTTGGTACTTTCAGGAGACTTTGAGAAAAGCTGAAGAGATTTTCGGGATGGATAATAAAGACCTCTACATATCATTTTAAGGGTTGCTAAACCGCAGCATGCATTAGGAAGTGCATTACAAGTGAAGTTTGTGCTTCAGTCTCTAGGTTACGAGGTTTCCTGTAGAGGGACTCGGTATACGCTTCACTATTTGACCTTTAAACATGGATATGTGAACACTGTTGATTGATATTTTGTTTTAAGAAATGGTTGATTTTAGAAATTCCTTGCAAAAAATATTCAAAATTTGTGCAAATTCTATTGTTGGGACTTTATGTAATGCCCCATTTATTTGTGGTTTATTTGAGGTATTATTATTATTATTATTATTATTATTATTATTATTATTTATGTGATATTATTGTTTGCCCAAATGTGATTAATTGATAGTTGTCTAATTGTCTAATTGATTTTCGTGATTTATTAAATTATTAAATGTGAATAATGTATATTAATATATATATGTAAAATATATATATTGTTCGGTTTATTTTTATTGTGCGTTTGAATTCGTTATCGAGCCTGAAAATTTTCGTTGGAACCGAAATTGAGCCCGAGAATATCCGTTTGAATTGTAGTCGGGCCCGTGAGCCGATTTATTTTGCAAACCGGCCCAATGGCCCAAACCCGGTTCTTTCATTGTGAGCGTGAGGCAAATAATAAAAAGAAAGAAACCTAGATTGAGGATATATATATATATATGCCGTAATATATATATATATATATATATACCGTATGTATCTATTTTTTCTTCTTTGGTTCACAAATCACATCGCGCAGCCTTGACCCGATCTCATCTCTCTCGCAAATCAGAGAAATTGTCATCTCTCTTTGCAAAATTGATCATCGCCCCCTTTCATCACCATCCTCTCGCCCTCTCATCAACATCAGGCCGCCGCCATCGTCCTCCTCTGCAACTCCTCCTCTCCGGCGACCAGCAACCCGAGCAGCAACTCTCGCATCTTTCCGGCGACCTTGTTTCCTGGGTTTTTCTGGCGAGTCTGATCGACCCACGAGCAGCCCACGAGCCCAGACGACGAGGACCTCTCTCTCTCTCGTGATCTTCCGACGACCTCCTCGCTGCCGCGCCGCGACCAACAGCTCCACCGCGCCGCGACGAGCCCGCCGTCACGCACGTTCACCGGCAGCTCTCTGCTTGTACCTGCTCCGTCCGCGAACAGCCTCGACGGCGACTTCTCTCCGTCTGCTGTTCCCTGTCGATGAAACCCGCAGCCCCTCCTTCGTGCAAGACGTCCGGCTGCCGCTCTATGCCACCTGCAAATTCCGGCGAGTCTCCTCCTCCGCAGCAGCACTTCCGACTGGACGTCTCGGCCATCGCTGCAACCCCACAATCGTGAAGGACCACCGCAGCTCTCTTCTCGGCGAGCCGCGCGAAGCCGTCGAGCCCCGTCGAGCCGGCTTCTCTCGTTCGAACCTTCTCGCTCGTTTCCCGAGAACGGTATCGAGTCTCGACTTCTCATTTTAATTATACGTGAATTGTGTCGTGATCATGCGGGTATTTCGTGTTCGTTGAATTATTATATGCGTGTTTGAGTTGTTCGTTGTGTAAATATATTCGTGATTTTATGTGGAACTCGTCGATTCGTACGAATCCAACGAGAACTCGTCGTAAGTGAATAGTTGCTGTGGATTTAGGAACCTAAGATTTTTACGAACACAATGGCGCTGACCTTGTGTCGATCGGACTTGTAGATTGATAGTTATGATTTTTCGAAAGTTATAATTGCTGTTTAGATTGAAAAATGCATTATAAATCAAATACTGGTCCGATTTTCTTGAACTTTTATGAGCAGCTGTGTTTGATGAATATGTAGCTGCTGTAAAATTTTCATGATTTTTAAAGGTGTTTAGCTATTTTTAAAAATTAATTCGAATTCTGTTCAGTTTCTTGTAAAATTCATACGTAATTGTGTAGTGTTCTTTTCTGGCTGATTTTCGACTATATTGTGTCTCAGGCATGATTATATGTTGTATAAAAATTTTAGAATTTTTCAATTGTGTTTGATAGAGTTAATGATTTATTTGGTGTTTCTGGCCGATTTTGTTTTAATTGTTATAAATTGTGCTGAAGCTGAAAAATTCTGAAAATTTGTGGAGGTGCTTATTATGTAATGTTCAGCATGCTGTAAAGAGTTTAGAAATTTTGGAGTTCATTTGAGGTCGGTTCTGTTATAAGTGCAATACTTGGCTGAATGTTGTTTTAATTTTATAAAATCACTTACTGAGTGTTAAAGCCTGGTATTTTTATATGTTGCTGTACCTATGCCTTAAAAGTTTAGATAAAAATTTCGTGGCCTGAAACATCCATTATCATGTGCTTTTAATTTAAACTCATTTTTGTTGAAAAACTTGTCTGAATTTTATAAAATCATGTACAATGAGTTGGAAGCTGAAACTTTACCATTTTTCTTAAAACTAGGAGGTGAATTTTGTGTAAAAGTTTCAAAGCCTGACTCATAAGTTTGGTATGCCTTCAAGTTCAAGTGGGAATTTGAGAAATTGTTTTGCTAAACTGGAAGTTGTTAAGTGTTGTTGACTAAATGTGCTACGTGTTTATTTGTGACCTATTTGATTGACATTCATTGGTGATTATGTGAAATTGAATGTGTGGTTTGATCGAGTCTAAGTCCTAGTGTTCCCATATCCACAGAACTTCACGAACCGAGTTCGGCTAAGTCAACTTGTGAAATTGCTACATAGGTCTAGATTAAAGTGTTGACTTTAGTATCTGGACTTAATGTAGGTGTCGAGAGGTGTTGAACCTCGCCTCGTCTCGAGATTTGTGATTTGAACTGTAGCTGTTATCAGGTGGGTACATTTGTGATGTATTCTATAATTATCGCATTTATTATTTCGTGTAATGTTTCTTTTGAAAATTATTGTATGCATGAGAACTCTAGTCTAAGTGTCCCAAACGATAGTGCCTTTGATGAATGCGAAAGCAGTGGAAGTCGCCTGCCCGTTGTATCCGGGAGGTGGACGCCCGAATCCGTGTAGAGCGGAGGGGATTGTCTGATTCACTCGAATCCGTGTAGAGCGGAGGGGTAATTCAACTTCACTGTCTCCTGGAAAGGATCCCATGTACCGTCGTATCCGGGGGTGGAAAGGTTTCCAGTTACAGCCATGCCGTCGTATCCGGAAGGTTGTTGTATGTACATAGGAGGTTTGCGATAGGGCCGGGTAGGGGGTTTAGGCTATGAATTCTATGCATACCGGTATTGATATTGTACACTGCGATTACTTGTTTGTAAAATTATTATACGGAATAATCGTGCGATAATGGTGAGCTTGTTGGTTGCTCACCCCCACCATTTTCTTGTTGTTTTCTCTCTTCCTTTGATTTAGGTTGAGACGAGCTGGAGGCGGTGGCGTAAGACGAGCGAGATGGTGGTCACTGTTTGATGATATCTTGTGCTTCCGCATGAACTTGTTGCTTATTTCATTTGCTTTCAAATACTTTTGATTATTTATTTATTTGCCTTCGAACTATGTTTGAGTTTCGTTGGAACCTTCATTCATGCTAGACGTTTGGAAATGATTTTGAGATTTATGTTTTATGAGACTGTTTATTTGATAGCTCAAGCATGTGTAGGTTCTTTGGATTGATTGATTGGATGTGTTCATTTGCTGTGGTTAGTAAGTAGCGCCCGTTTCTCGACAAATGTTTTAATTTGGATTTTAAAAAAAATAAAAATAAAAATAACTCTGATTTTTATCAAATAAATTCGGTAAATTCTTTAAAATAAAACGGGGCGTTACACTTTAGATGGCACTAATGTATGGTACATATGTAAATAATGACATTTGTTGTAGTGTCATCTTTTGTTGTTGCTACAAACATAATGACTTTATATTGACCTTTCAAATGGGTACATCAATCACCATCATAGGGCGACAACAATTAGTGAATTCGTTGGAAGCATGTAACGCAACGAATGCGTACATGAACACAACATTGTCATTTGTCTCATAGCATGTGGTGGTTCTAGGATTTCCTCTCATCAACATATGAAAATATCCAGACAAAAGTTCCTAAGATTTATTATGATCCTTGTAAACGAAGTCATACGCGACATTATGAGACTTTAGTGCTTTATTGTATTTGACTTGGTGTACCATTATCACGCTCCTGGTCACTCATTATATACCGCTAGGGGCTGAGCGACCAGAAATCATTTCTTGGATTTCTGGCATTTCTGGAACCAGACACGATTTCTGGGGTCCAGAAATCAATTTCCGGTTCCAGAAATCGTTTTTCGGATTTTTGGGATTTCTGGAGTCCAGAAATTATTTCTGGGCTCCAGAAATGATCATTTCTAAA